TAAGGAAGTTGGGGGAGTGGAGATGGGGAGTGGGGAAGAGCGTGGGGCAAGAAAGGCGGAAACGGAGGGTGTGGCGAAGTTGGGCGGAGGGGGGAGGGGAAAGAACGGGGGGCAAGAAAGGCGGGAACGGAGGTGGTGGGGAAGTTGGGGAAGCGGCGGGTGGAGAAGAGCGGTGGGCAAGAAAGGCGCGAACGGAGTGTGTGGGGAAGTTGGGGAGAACGGGATGGGGAAGAGCGGGGGCCAAGAAAGGCGCGAACGGAGAGGTAAAGGCTTGAAGTCTATGGTAATCGGGGGGAAAGACGAAAGGAAGAAGAAGACTGGGAGGAAGGAGGAAGGAGAAAGGAGGAAGGAGCAATACAGAACCAAGCTGTGGAGAACATAGGAAGAAAAAAAAAAGAAAAAAAAAAGAACCAAGCTCTATTTATTTGGTTGGGCAACAGAGAAAAAAAAGAAGCAAGCTCTATTTGTTTCGGTGGACGCGTCACTCTGGATCTCGTCCACGTGTCACTCTATTTCTTTTTTTTTTTAACTTTTTTAGTCTCTCTATTTATTTGGTTCGGCAACAGAGCAAGCATACCAAGCTGTGCGTTGGAGAACCCAAGAAATAGAGAGACTTAAAAATATTTAAATTAAAACAAAAATAGAGTGACACGTGGACGAGCCTGCAGAGTGACACATGACCGAGATCCAGAGAGACACGTGGACGAGATGCAGAGTGACACGTAAGACTCGAAGAAAGAGAAGGGAGGAAGGAGATGATGGGCCTCGCTCTACTATATTTACCCAAGTGTGCAAAATGAGAACGAATCTCCGGCTAGAACATGGGAAGATACACCGCCATATTTTTCGTCTTCTGTGTATTTGGTCGTGTATTTGGTCAATAGTGGAGCGGTGACCGATCACAGAAGGAAGCGCGAGGGTGTACAAGTTCACCAGCACCAGCGAAGGTTGAGGTACCTGCCAACCGCCGACCTTAGAACCATACTCCGTCGATTGTCATCATTTCATTCTCACAAAGTGAGAGAAGCCTAATATACTATACTACCACTGAGGGGGAGTCGTTGCCAGTGCCTCTCCTCTGCCGCCACAACTCGTTTTCTCCCGCCAAAATACCCCTCCACCTCCTTTCCGGTCCACCCGCGAAACTACTCCCCCGCCAAATTACACCCCCCACCTTTCATTTCCGGGGGCAAGGTTCCACTTGCACAGATTAAGAGATTCTGGCCGTTGATCTTTGTTATCTACGGTCAATGTCGCTTAATTCGTGTAAGTGGGACCTAGCCCCGGGGGCTACCGGTAGGTCCCACTAGCAAAGAGAGATGGATTGAACACGTGAATCCGGATTGGACACGTGAATCCGGACGAGAATGTCGGAAAGATGCAGGAAATCGACATTCAACTGCTTTTCGGCATCTCTTCGTAAAACACGTCCACATTCAGGAGCTTAATCCGATCCTCTTTGCTACTAGTGGGACCTCGCCCCGGTCCACCCGCGAAACTACACCCTTTTCTTTTGGTGTGAACGTTGTTATAGGATCCGGGGGCCAGGCCCCACTAGCAGCGTTGAGTTTCCTCAACGCCCGAATCTGGACATGTCTGTGGATATGTGCAGAAATCGCGTTGAGTTTTCTCAACCGCACATCTCCACGAAAACGTCCAAATTCGGGCGTTGAGGAAACTCAACGCTGCCAATGGGACCTGGCCCCGGGGGAGAGCCGCGAGGCAGATCCGGGGAATAGCGCGCCAAGGCAGCAGCAGCAGCCAAAAAAATTTGCGCCGTTCCCGGAAGAAAAAAAAACTGGTGGCCGCGAGGCAGATCCTGGGAATAGCGCGCCAAGCTACTAGCAGCCAAAAAAATTGGCCCCGTTCCCGGAAAAAAAAACACTGACGCCAAGCCACCGTCCGCCCACGTCTGGCCCTCGCTCCACTGCTCATCACACACCACATGCTCAAACGACAAAATTCATGGCGGTGCATTTTTTTTATTTTATTTTTTTCAAGGCTACCTGCCGAATCTGGACAGGACGGCCTTTCAGGCCTTTTTTATTGTCATTATAGTATTACGTTGGAACCCCGTAGCAGCCACATCCGTGCTGAGAAGTTGGTCACCTTTATTACAAATAACTGAAGTTCAGAAGAGGCCGGTGCATGTTCGAGGGCCAAGTCCCACTTGGCTGAATTCGACATTACCCAGTCGTTGATCTTCAGAATCAACGGTCAGAAATCAAGAATTCGGGTAAGTGGGACTTGGCCCCGAATGTTCACATTTGGTGATTAGTGGAGCGAGGGCCCTCAACGTCAACAGAACCGGGGCTAGGACCCACTCCACTTACACGAATTAAGCGATATTGACCGTAGATAGGATAGCAAAGATCAACGGCCAGAATCTCATAATCCGTGCAAGTGGGACCTTGCCCCCGGACGAACGAACCTACTACGGTAGGGTAGACCCACCCCCCCCTAAAAGAAATTAAAAAGGGGTACGTCGGCAGTGAAGGTGAATTGAAAGAATTTGAAAGATTTGAGACAATAAAAAAGAAAAAGAAAAAAAAATACCGCTACCTCCTCTGCTTCTATATTCTTCTCTCAACTTCTGCTTCCTGGAAGATACGGGAAGGCAGGATCGACGGCCATGAGAATGTGTTTCTTGGTGCCACGTGGCTGACTCGGACGCTTGGTGACGAAGCAAACCTACGCGTGCATGGAATGGAGTGCCTGCTGACGCAAGCATTACGTTTCTTGATTTTTTCCGAAGGTTTCCTCGAGGTTGCCGTCGCCGGAATATGAACAAGGGGGCCCGCAGGCCTAGCTCAGCTGGTAAGGGAGGAGCTCGTGGGTTCACTTCCCATTGGCCTCACGTACGTGCCTGTGCCTGGGCATGCTTGACGTCCTACCGGGGCTAGGTCCCACTTGCACGAATTAAGAGATGCTGGCCGTTGATCTTTGCTATCTACGATGAACATGGCTTAATTCGTGCACGTGGGACCTAGCCCCCGGTTAAAGGTAACCCTTGGGCCCCCCAAGCCAGGATTTTTTTTTTTTTCCCTTTTTTTGGTGCCAAGCCAGGGTTGGCAGGACCTTGGCCAAAATTGTTGGTTGATCCAGCGGCCTAGCTCAGTTGGTAAGGCACGCAAGTGGCATTCAGGAGGTCTTGGGTTCGATTCCCACTGCCTCATGCACATTCCTGGGCAAGCTTGGTGCCTGCCACCTAGAGATATGCCGTTGGTCCCCCCGAGTGGCATTGAGCAGAGACTGCTGATGTTCATAGGGGGAGGGGACCGGAGGAGAGGCACAGTGACTGGCCCATCGAAGAAGCTCGGTCCTGATGCTACCGGCTGACCCCTGGCCGGTATAGCCCACCTGCTGTAGCAGGTATCGCACCTGCTGGTGGGTGCAGCTCCCACATGTTCCCTCGTTGGAGGCTTGAGCACGGATGTGGCTGCTACGGGGTTCCCCGTAATACTATAATGACAATAAAAAAGGCCTGAAAGGCCATCCTGTCCACATTTGACAGGTAATTGAATTGGTTGGGCTTAAACCACTAGTACCTCTGCCAGTGTTGGGAAATTAGGGAAAACTGCCAGTTTTCCCATTTTCCCCGCAGAGTTCGGACGTCAGGGAGGGTCGGCAAACGATGACCTCCCCGGAAAAAAAAAAAAAAAAAAAGGGGGAAAGGCGGATGTCGGTCCATGTCCGGTCCACCGGAGGCAGGCCGGAAGTGGAAACGGTACCGGCAGCAGCGTGGCGGGCGTGTGATACGCAACCTCACGTCCCCTTGCGGCTTCCCGTACGAGGTCGCCGATCAGAGTTCTAGGAGGGGCGTGGCCGAGGATTTTTGCCGTAAGGGTTGAGTCTCCCGGACGGAACGGGAGGCCCTCGTTTCGTGGCAGAGGTTTTCCCCGGAGTCGAACTGTCGTCGCGGAGTCCCGTGGGGGGTCGATCGCTCCGAAACGATAAATCAAAAAGGTTTCCGCAAAAATGAAGTGTCGTCTTGCATCGGGATGGAAAAAGGCATCAAGGGGAGAGGGCCATGGCTGTGGAGGACAAAACTTCGGTCGTCAGGGGTTTGGGGGATAGGTGGCGGGTTCGAAGCCTTCAGGCCTCACAAAGCGGCCGAACCCTCAGGTCTTTGCTGTGGAGGTGGTTGGTTTGAGGCCTTCAAGCCTCGGCGTCGGACTCACAGAGTCCGCGCGAAAGTTTTCGGGAGGGTAAAGCGGCGGGAGGACTCGCCGGCATCTGAATTCGAAATTGCGCGGGCAGCGCCCCCKCACTACGGGAAAGCTCGRGGAAACGTGTCGCTCCCTCGTAACCCAGGACCAGCCGTCGCCAGGAACACRAGTCCCSCTGGCGACACCAGCGACAATCAAACTGCGGCCGCCACACGGCATGAGCGRCCGACCAGGGCAACACCGTCAAACTCGTATAAGGCAATAYTAGAGTCGGGGAATCAAAACGATCAATCAAAACAAACCCGTTCCCCCTTATCTCACAAGCCCGAGGCGGGTCTTGCCAACACACTYGCTTCGTCCGCCTCAACGCGCGCTGTACGTCCGAATCGCAMTAGACGCTGTCGTCATCTGCGATGGGGAAGGTCGGTAGYGAGATGAGACGATCGGMGGTACGTGATGAACACGGGCAAGGTCCYRCGTTCCCRGTCATCCGAACCAACACCGAATCCATACAACAATCGTCSCAACTCTTCTCTCTCTARGRTGGGCGCGTCGAGGGAAGACGACGAAGTCTAAGCTCTCTCCCCTTGCGGGGGCGTCGACCGTCCGCGCGGATGCAAGCGGTTGACGTCACCGGTACGGGGGCGAGAAGCAAAAAAAGCGAGGACTATCAGTTCAAAAAAGGAAAGCAATCGAGAGAGAGAGAAAGGGAGAGAGAGTGCGTTACGCCGAGACCGTGCACGAGCGCAGGAAAGACCACTGAGGGGAGGGGAACAACCGGATCAACACACTCGTACTCCTAAGCAGACGGTCCCCCAGTTCAGTTTCCCCATCCCCGCCCGGACGAATACATACACACATACATGCATGCAATCAACAAACTTTGACAGGACATCTAATCATCCATGGACCTTCGACATCACTCGTGCGCACCACCAGCTCYCATCACTCGGGGCTTCACACACACGACATGCATAGACAAAGCAGCAATGGAGATAAAAGCGAGTCCTTCTTGTACACAAAAATTTCAATTAACTGCCGCCCCCAGGCGCAACCTTCAAAACTCCCCAAGACCACCGACCACCATAGCCACAAGGCCCTGCCGCGGCCGGCGTCCAATCCCCATCACGGCTCCGTCCCTCTGACTGCTTCGCCCCGAGACTACCGCGGGTCCACCCCACGTCGTCACTCCGCCCGTCCTTGGGCTCGTCGAGCCTGTTCGGCGCTGCGGACTCTCGCGCATAGCTCGCGCAGCATTGCAGCCGAGATCAATGAGGAGGAGAGGAGAGGGTTGCGCGAATTTATAGCGCGGGAGGCGACGGGTTGTCAGCGCCAGGTGCGGGCAGCGCAGGTTGTAGATGAGTAGGACAGGAGGAAGGTGGGGAGTTAGAGGGTTCGACCCGCGGGATGGCATGGTCCTACGTGATTGGGGTGTCTGTTCAAGTGGCGCGTGGTTTCCCGCTCTCCACATTGATCCGAGCATCCCAACTACGCGGCCAATCACTTCGCAGGGTAAGGATCGAGCTGGGCGGAGGGGAAGACGAAGAGTCCGGCATGGGGAAATGCGCGTAGCAAGAAGGGAAGATGGCGCTGGGATGCAAAGCAAGAAACGGGGATGCGAGACGCGCGAAGAAATCGGAGCTTAGGCGTGCGAGCACAAAAATTCAAAAAGTCCCAACCGCCCCTGTTTCTTGGTTTTCATACCGCGGCCGCTATTCGCCCGCGCAGGAGTTATTAACCAAACAAAATGAAAAAGCCGTTTCGAAAAGAAAACGAAAAACGGAAAGAAAGAAAAACCCCTGTTTGTCTATGTCCAAGCCTCGGGGCTTCCGAGGGATTTTTCCTCAGGGATACGGGAAGCCGCGCGGTACGGGTCTGAGCTTATCACAGGCGACCCTCGGACCAACGGTCGTCCGAGGCAGGTTTTCGGAGGCAGCGACCGCGTGGACGGGCGACCGGCAGCCGTGCAAATCCGACTTGCGGCCTGCCGCAAACTTCCGGCCGCTGCGACGATGACGATCGCCGCCGCCATCGCCCTTACGCCTCTCTCTCTCT